TTTAAAGTATCGTGCATACAGCCAGACACGTTCTTGCTAACGGCAATGTGACTATATATGGACATTATTCCTTGAATTTTCTTATTATTCCACAATTACAGGTATCGACTACAACTTTGAAAGAGAAGCCCTAAACTTAGTAACAGTTTATGCCCTAATCATAATTTTTATGAAAGTATCAATTTGAACGCAATGACATTTACTGGGGCCATTTCTATACTTGCTGTCGGCGGTCATGCAGCGTTTATTGCTCTCTGTAAGTTAAACGTCATGTGTCGCCCATGCTCTATCACACAAGAGAAATTGTTTAGCAGTTTATACATTCATACATTAGTATATATACTGTGCGGCCATTTTAGTAACTCATAGAGCTGCGTCGATGTTTTGGCTTTCAAGTGGTATTCGTTAGCTACAGGACATACAGGTGAGGACATTGTGTATTGATACTTTGATGACCTTATATGGCCTGTTAAACATTACATATTTTCGAACACCGACAGCTACTATCGAACATAATATATTAGCAGGTACACATTCATAATACACTTGTCTGGAATCTTGAAAAATTCCCTGGAAGTCAATGTTGAAGCGCGATTGTGTTGGCTAATAGCTGGAGCACATGCGTTCGGAGTAATTCCCTATTCTGGCATGGAACCACACAGCTGTTACATAATCTTGTGAATATTCAATCTGCTGACTAGATATATCGGCTAAGACGATATAAGGTAATAGTAGAGTCATTATCAGTACAACTGTCTGAGAACCGTGTGATTTGAAATAAAGGTAAACCATATGTTTTAAGGTTTTAATCACATCACTGTAAACTACTGGTAAGAACAAATGTTGCTGCGATCGCGGTTGTGTCCCTCAAAGGTCGCGTTAAGGACGCGATCTTGGTAACATTCATTTTTGCAAGTGGTGTTAAGTACTAATATTACGATGGAAGACGCAATAGATAAAAGACGCAAGTAAAAAGGCTTTGATATCGAATCCTTCAAGATTCGCAATGTATTTTACTTGGCATTTTAAAATATTGTGTATGTTCATACAAGCAACGTTGGATGTATTTTGGATATGTAAAGGATGAAATCACTGAGCAAATACAGGTCGATCATTAGAATCTCTTTTGCAAAAGTCGACAGTCAATCCAATTTCCGTTGACACAAGCTTTTAGGTCGATCCTCTTAAGCTAAACAAACCAATAAACACAAGTCAGCGAGATGTTTGATCCATTCTGAATATCTGACGGGAATGACACTAATACATATTATGATCGCTGCATGAATGTCCATTTAAAGGTCATCTGAAATCCAATTGCAAACCTTTCGTCAGGTCAGAGGCAAACAAACGTTCGACTATATATGCACAAGCATATGAAAGGACGTCTGAATAGGTAAAGGACGACTGTGCTGGTTAAATATGCTGTTGTATGTATATCTAATACTTTATTGTGTTGTAAATGGATTAAGTTGATGAACAGACGTTATGCAGAAGTATTTTCAAATTCAACTAAAACGTCTGCTTCTTTCAATGTAATATTGTCATAAAGTGAACACAGTATGTGCGCATAACGTAAATAACTTCCGTTTCCTTCTTTAGTAAACATATTACACTTTGCAACAAACATAAGACTTGTCTCTATGGAGACTATCAAATTCTTTCGGAATGGAAGAAACAACACTCTTTAACGCTGTTTAAAAAACAATAACAACACACTATACAATATATAAATTATCCAGCCAGTCGGATGTGATGAATATAAATGTAAATCACCCAAAGGTTGGTATTGAGAACTGCTTAGGAGACAGTGTACATTAGACACATTCAAACTACAGGCATCCATTCAAAGAACAGCCAAGGACATCGTGAACATATCGCCATATCGGTTTTTATAATCAACGAGCGTGTCAAACTGTGGGTATCACCGCGCGGTGAAACATTAATATATATACTAGTATGTTACAACACAAGATTCCCACGAGAAATAGCTTCGCGTGAGGTCAACTGTATACTAGCAGAATCGCCAATTCCAATGGTTGATGAGTCACATCGTTGCAATATTGTGGTTCCATTGTTGAATGTTTGGATTGTATGGTGTAGATGGACATCCTGAAAGGTGAGCACATCATTTGTTTGAATAACACACATGCAATTTTGAAATATAATTTATATATATATTTTGTTTAACAATATAGACAGCAAAGGGTTTATATGCCGATTACCATGGGTTTTTTTCTTCAAATTTGGGACATAACACTTGTGGTGGCACATACTATCTTTATAATCCTTATGAAAATGACCAGTGCCCCTTTACGTTTCGGTTAAGTTTATATTCAAACAATACATTTGGAAATAGCTTCAATTCAGCTATTCCCTGAACTTGTACTAACGAACACTGCTGCTCTCATCCAAACCTTTACCTTAAGCTACCCATAGTTTTAGCCATAACTTACACTTTACATAGCGACACAACTTTCATTCCGTTTACAACGGGAGACTAAAGTGTGCCATGGAGCGTTATTTTACCCTGATATTCACCATAAAAAGAAAGATGTTCTTCTCTTTGTGTAGAAAAACAAAGCCATACACTTCCAAGTCTTAATTTCAGAAAGGATTTTACTGAGGCTATTGATTATGCAGTTAACTAGAGCCCCAGGATGAATGTTGAGTCCAATTTCGTTCTCTTTTACCAATGCATTGTCCAATTGAATTTTGAAACAACCAAATGTCAAGGGACGGTCCTTTAGCTTTTTCCTGAGGAAAATGGTATTATGGGGGGAGCCCTATAAATATTAATCATATCTTGGCATGTTGAGTCTGAAGTAATTTACCGTAATTTGACTTTGTGGTGCCGAGAAAAGTCCGATACATGTCATTAAGAAACTTTTTTTCAAGTTCTTTGACATTCCGATTCAGCTTTATGGCTATATGACTCAGAAATATGGGACCGAAAATATGTATACCCTGTAAGTTCTTGTGTATGGGCCGATGGCCTGTCGTACAATAAATATACTTGACAACTGAACCGTTGATGAATCTATATTTTCGTTTCTTCAGGTGGAACGTCATATATTTATAAACGATTAAAAAATGTGTTACATTTACACTTCATTATGCATATTAGTGCCTGTATGTGTGGTCGGCTAAAGAAGTATACAAATACACAACGTATCCGTAATATTGCATACTCATACGTGAGAAACTGATAAAAATAGCTCATGTTTATATCACGATCGCATAGATCATACAAACAAAATATCTTATTTCTTTTCATGATAATGCACAGACAAGAACGTAGTGAATGAGACCTCACAGTTTACATATGATGCTTATTAACTCCCAGTAACGTTGATATGCATATCTCATTTACAACATACGCCATTTTGATCTGAAGAACTTACATGTATTTTGAAATGAGAAAATAATGAACGAGCAACTAGTGAGTCAATGGTGTGTCATCAAATTCTTTGACGTAGCGTCAGTCCTTTAGAATAATAAAGGAGCACTAAATCATGTATGACCACTCAGCCTTGAGAAAAGCTAAAACGCACATGTTATAATATTGGAAAGTCACGAAACTCGATCCTTTAAACCCTTTTGGGAAATATTAAGAAAAGCATACAATTCATGCAAGTTGTCACAGATAATATACGATCCCTTTAACGAAAGCAATGTAATTAGTAATCTACAAGTTCACAAAGACAAGTAGTAGGCACTAAAACGCAAAGTTTTCTTTGATCGTGAACATAACGTACAACCATTATGTGACACAATAACTTCATCATGATTCTTATCCCATTTTGGCAATGTGTAATGTGTATTGACTACTCGCTCCATCAAGATAATTACAAAAAAATCCTATTTCTTTTGACTGTATAAAATATTGCTACCATTTAATAGTACAAAGCTGCATTCGTAATTAATTGAGAGTTATTGGAATATCGACCTTTCTTGTAAATGAAATCATGAGCTATGTCTGGGGGCTGAGCGTGAAGCTTTGACTAACGAGCTAACTATGTTAGTTGACTTGACTCGTTGAGATAACAGCTTGTGTCTTCTTGCGTCAAAAGTCTCGATCTGAAGACGTCGCTTGATAAGGCACAGCATGTTGGCCCATCACAGACGAAGTCGCACAAAGACCAAAAATAGAACGGGGCGGAAGAATGCATATAGAAACGTCTGGATACTTAGATATGATTAAATTTGTAAACTTTATTGTATTTCATTTCAAGTTTAAAAGTTGATATAGATGGACACATATCTTTACTCAGCCATTCGTTTGCTCAACCAGAAACAAATAGTATAAACGGTACGTGATTTTCAGAAAATATTGACCATTTTTGCAGAGTAAATATACTTAGAAATTAGTGTCAGTGATTGAAACGCATGTACTTAAATTAACTAGTATTTCATAACGTATTGGCTTGTATACCAGACAGAAGTGATTAGGATTTCTTAAAATCCATCGTTCTCCACTTTCCGTACACACATAATGTCTAAGCATGTTTTCATTTAGTACCTTTCAAGATAGAACCAAGTTAGTGGAATTAAACACCCGATTTCTCAAAGTGAAAGTGGATCAAGATAAATTATGATCTTCGTTTTAATGGGCATAATACAACGCTTTGAATATATGCTTTTGCGTTATCCGAGTAAAACACTGATAATCAATTTCGACCAGTCCAGAAGAGAGGATGATTTGAACCCTAAATCTAATAGAGTACTTTCGAAAAGATTTACGAAGGATTGGATAGGACGAAATAGCTACAATAAACACAAAACCTAGAGGTTTAGCAACCATATAAACCACCATAGGTAACAAAGTACCTGTAATCTGTTCATATTTAAATACATTTCTAGGTCGCGATGGAACATCGGTTCAATTACAATTCGTGTCCTCATGTCAACAAAACAAAAACCTATTTCGAAATATTGATCTTCGTTCTTGTAGAGTTTTTACATCAACTTTTTATCTTTTTGTTTCAGTGCAGCGCTGACTGAAGACAGCTCCTCAGACGGAAATGTTACCCTTGAGACTTGGGTATGAACGTTTGGACCTTGGCCGGAACGGATGATAAGTGGATCTAATCAACGCCTTGCATCGCGGACGCTTCATGCCTTCACAATAAATTAGCGTCTTTGTTTTCCTTGCGAAGTCGATCAGAAGAGAGTGGTCAGTCAAAATGAGTTCTCCTAGTCTACTCATTACTGGTACCATTAATTCAACAGTGGCCTTGCCTGTGAATAGGAGCAGTGTCAACAGTACAAAAGTTGACCTGCGGGATGAAAATTTGGCCGTGATTGAAATTGGCGTGCAAGTTTCTATCATTATCCTAGCAGTCATCGGCAACTCAGTTGTCATGTTGACGCTGAAGTTAAGAAAGAAAAAGCTGTCAAGAATGCATCTCATGATTGTTCATCTCAGCTTGGCGGACTTATTTGTGGCTTTCTTTAATGTACTACCTCAACTCGCCTGGGATATTACATACAGATTCGTGGGAGGAGACCTGCTTTGTAGGCTTGTGAAGTATTTCCAAATTGTTGCCATGTACGCATCGTCATACGTGTTACTAACGACAGCCGTTGATCGTTACTACGCCATCTGCCGGCCACTTACCAGCGCCACATGGACTTCCGGAAAGATTCAAAAACTTGTCATGGTGGCGTGGTTTGTCTCCCTTCTTTTTAGCATACCCCAGGTTGCAATATTTTCCTACATGGAAACTATACCAGGAACAGGAATCTATGATTGCTGGGGTGTTTTCGAACCAGAATGGAAATTACAACTCTACATTACCTGGATTACAGTTTCCGTCTATATCATTCCTACTTTTATTCTAGCGCTTGCGTATGGGTGCATATGTCATTCGGTTTGGAAAAGTGGGAAAATGGCGGAGACACTTACACCCAGGTTTACTCTTCAGAATTCCAGGGTTTCAAGCAAATCCAAGAACGTGGACGGTGTACCAAAAGACATGCTTGAAAAGAACATCCAGTCAGTACAAACGAAGCCACCTGTGCATGGGATATCAAGAGCAAAAATGAAAACTATCAAACTGACAATGACGGTTATCATCTGTTACCTGATCTGCTGGTCACCGTTTTTCATAGCGCAGATGTGGGCGGCGTTTGATCCTAATGCTCCGTTTAATGGTAAGTTCCTAAGGTATCCGACAATGGCGCATGCAATCCACTTGACGAGATACTAAACTTTCCCATCAAGAATAACAAGCCCGACAATCCATTTGCATTTAGTAAAAGTTTAAGATAACGCACAGCTAATTATTGAGCTTTAGTTGACATTTAGAAAGATAATTGTATCCTTTTACTATCCTTGAAAACTATAACAGAAATGCAACTTTAATGCCTTTCATTAGCAAAAGACCCTACTGTATAAGTTTGCGAAAGCTATTCTTGGAGGTATTGGATTTGGAATAACTATCAAGTCACATAAACATATATGGCCTCATGTACAACGGTAACCAATCTCAGTCAGATAGCGCTTCTCATGATCAAACGCGATTGTTTCAGAAGTACTTGTATTATATTTCGAGCCTACCTGTGGGTCGACACTACCTGGTTGACAAGACTGTTTAACTCGAATCGTGTTTGTTGATAACACCACAGTCAGCAATATTCCACCTACATGATGCGGCTTGTAAGTAATCGTGTCTGGACCAAACAAACCCGCGATTGATATTATGAACTACATGTACATGTACGTACCACAACGTCGTGGTATAAGTCTAACAGCTTTATGAACTTTTTCCATTTCCCAGGTTACTGGGTACGTATGTTGTGCCCTTAAACCTACAATAGTCTTGAGTCTACAATATTCATGAGTGGGCGGAGCTTATGTGACCACGTCACACTTGTTTCATACGCACTGGACTTGTAGGTTTAAGGGCACAACATACGTATTCTTACCCTCAATGTCAATATGGCTTATTGATATTTTACTATTTTCACTTATATTCGATAACATCCTTTATAGAAATGCAAAGTTTCAGGTGTTTTGAGACTGATATGCAATTTATGGGGATCCAGAGGTACATGTATATCGTTGGACGATATTTCATTGCGTGGAAGTAGTTTGATTTGTCAATAATGTTAAATTTATAACGACAACCAAACACAAAGTAGTTTCAAACATTTATTATGATAAAATACAAAATTATAAATTTGGCGTATGGGGAATTCTCAGGTATGATTACGGGTGCCCATGATTGAGCATCAATCATGCCAAGCATTGGAAACGATTTGGCCACTTGCAAATAATAACATGACACGGCAAAACTGGACGGCCAAATCGTTGGCACTAAGTGTGTACATGATCGAGCATCGGTCATGCCCAAGCATTGGGATCAAACGCTGGCTATAGTTCTGAGCCTCAGAGCACAGCGAGTGACTACACAGAACGGTACAAAATGGTGCGATAAATGAGCATACAATTAGCCTACAAGTTGGATGTGGATTATTGAACTTTAGGGGGAACTATCCCAGCAATTTGAGGAGGATAGTAAGGCTGGATTATTGAACTTTAGGGGGAACTATCCCAGCAATTTGAGGAGGATAGTAAGGCTGTAGGCCTCCAAGCAAGTTGAGGAGGATAGTTGGGCCGGGCCTGAGAATTACCAAGTTTGAGTATGATACATAAAGTGAGACAAAATATAAATTTCATATCATATCTGGTATGACCATGAGGTTACTTTGGGAGGAGGTTGGGGAGGTGGTGGAAACTGCTTGTCATTGTTTACAACTGATAACAATGGCTGCTGACCTGTACCCACTGCGCATGCGTGGGAGGAAGGCTTGTAAGCTTTCCTGAGAGGAAACTCATGTCTGCGCATGCTCCTGTCAAACTTCCTTCCTGTCAAAACAAATAGTTACGACTACGACGGGTGTGGCTGTTGTAGGCACAAGCCGTTGTCTAAGCAATAAACTGGAAAGGTTAAGAGTGCATTTGGGAAGGGATTTATGTAGCTGGTACAAGCTAGGTCAGCATGACCTGCATAAATATGTACGTAGCACCACCTTGTCGTACTTAGTGTCACCAATGTGTGATGAGCAAATTGTTGCTAACCGCAGCATAGCACACATATACCAACAAATTAAACATAAGTAAAGTAATACATGCAAGTAGCAAGAATAATACATGGTTGTTTTATTGTCGTTATAAATGTGCTCATAGTGCCGAAGAGCTATAAATTAACTAGAATCGAATGCCCCATAAGTCATAGAAATATTAAATTTTGAATATCGCGTATTCTTTTCTTCAGATGACTTTATTCACATCATGGAACAAGGTAACTGTTATAAATGTTTTAGAAACCCAGTGGAATTGTTCGACAAGATAAGAATAGCTACGAAGATGTCTAAACGCAAATCCTACGACCGCTAGGAAATAATTTCGGATTACGTTTGAAATAATAGAGTGATCGTGGTGCATACAAGTGGAAGGTGTATCTTAGATCAAGTAAAGAATGAGCAGAGGAATTTCAATATCATTGAACTGCCCATATGATTAGATCAAATTAGGGCTTTGTTTTGAATGACCTGCATGTACTTTGATTACATCTAGGGTAGTTAATGCATATGACCATACATATCTGTAACACGTCACTGTAAGTATGGACGGTAACAGTCAGTATTCTTGATAATAAAAGCGACAAAACCCTTAACATATCCAACAGAAATCTCCGCTAAAAGCTGAGTCTACTGTACGATTCCGACATATATCATGATCAAATAGTTAGCATACCAGGTACCGCCGTCATATAGCTGGAATATTGCTGAGTGCGGCGTTAAACAACAAACAAACAAATCATACCAGGTGTTCGCGAAAAGGTGAGTGAATCCTACCCCACTGGTGGCATCCGTGTCACAAACACATGCAAAGGCAAGTCAAGTGTTCACCTAACAGAACACGGGAACATATGGTACAAAATAGGGATCGGCCATCATTTTTGTCAGTGATGCGTCAAATTTGTAAATGACCTCCACGTGTCTACCATAAAACATCTTGAAAGCTTTCCCGAGGCCTTGAATGTCGTAAACTTGATTAAACAACTCCTGAGCAAGAGTCATATGGCGCTCTTTGAAGGCTTGGTAGGGAGAGCATGCTAGATTGTACCTCAAAAGCTACAGCTGCTGGAATATTGGTCGACATGAAGTGAAAGTTGACTATTTGAAAGTTGAAGTCATCCCTCTTGTTGAGGGTGTTTTGTCACTTTGAATCTTTATGCATAGATCTAAATATGAAACAGATGAGGCCGTCTCACTGGTCTCCTTTATTTCAAGTACAGGTGGGTAATTCAGTGGAAGGGAATTGGCTATTTGATGGTTATTGAACTATATCAGATCATCGATATACCTGAAGCTTAAGTTAAACTTCTTGGCCACGAGTGTATCCCACCAAGGCCATGGTCTTTATAACCTATTACCCTTGCAAATATCAAAATAACGTCTTCCTTTTAGCTACATATATATAATATCAACACTGGCATTTCTCTCGTGTGAACACAGCATTATTTAATGAAATGTTAACACCAATTAGAACATATACTCGCCAAATACACAGACTTGTCTCGAGAAACGTGTAAAAGCAACAGTATGTGATGAAATGTAAACACGAAATAGAGCATACATTCGACAAAATACACAGACTTGGTAAGTATTATTTTAATCAAAACAGGTTGGTCATGTAGTTAATACACATAATCTGATTGCCAAACCCATGCATGTAATATAAGAATGTCACATTACTTGACACCGTCTGTCATTATTTTTGTATATACCAAATTCCGTTTGGAAAAATGGTTAGATACGCAGAGTCAATTGTCCCTCATATGTTCGAGACATAAACTATAGTGAATACCACATGGGAAAGAATGACGGCTAAGGTGTATGTTTGTTATTTATTCGGCCGCACTGAAGGGCATCGCCGGTGCTTTTTTAAGTTGGTGGACTACTCATATATTGGGTCACAAATCAGGTGAAGTTAAGCAACTCCTGAGAGTTTCTTCGGCCCTGCCCCACACTGATGCACATGCCTATGTTCAACCAGCAGTGAAAGGGTACTTCATGTATTCTAAAACTGTGTTCTTCCAAATTTTTGAATATTAATTGCAATTGTTTTTGCAGTTTATGTTTTGTCACCAAGCACAACGACCTATCTTCCCGTGAGATTAGTTATGCATGAGAAATATACAATCTAATAGCCATACATATAGTCGACCTTATAGGATGCCCAGAGAAAACAATTGGATTCGGCTGCTGTGTTCAACAATGCCACCTGAATGTTATGACAATACAAAAGACTGTGACAGTCTCTCTAACAAACGAACTGTCAATGTATTGCGACCTTCTGTGGCATCACAAAGACGGAGGCCAAATGAAACAGAACCATTAATTTGGGAGATGTGTTGCCTCGCCTTCAGGACTGCACAAAGTAATTACAAGGCTATTCTCGTTTAAAGACTCCAGTAACTTTTGTTGAAAGATAGGTCTATAACCCACTGTATCGACTAGAGATATAGTTCTTTATCAAATTTTTAAAACTTACATGTATACAGGTAAGTAACATTTCCCTTCATGTCATACAATATTTTATATTTCAAGAACCACCAAGAGGAACGAACTACATCTCATTCAAGTTGTTCAAGAACGTATGGCAGAATGTGTACTTGGCAGCTCACAGGGTAGCGTACATTCCACTTTCTGTGGCTGTAAAGACGCATCATACTGTAACCAAAATGATCATATGAACACAAGTGTCTTCTTTAATGTTGACAATAACGACCTTGGTCAGCTGTTCAAAAATTATACAAAATATCGTGAACAACCTGCAACCAATGGGGTTCATCATGGATGCTGTCGAAGAGTATGCAAAGAATTAGCTAATAGAGAATATAAACCTGTTGCATGTTTTTTTCCATAGTGGGTTAAGTCAGTGTGTGATGTCATTGGTAGAATGCACAAGCTGAAAAAGAGGAAACAGAACTGGTTTAAACCTATTTTGTACCTATTCTGTAACGAACTTGGTATAAGTGGCACATGAAATAATGACACATGTAAGGCCAGTATGTTAAATTGGGTAGAAATCTTCCCACAACAGGCATCAACACTAACAACTTTTGACCCTTAAACCTGAA